CATAACCATGAATATCTGTGGAAAACCAGTGATAAGCATGATTTGCCTTGAAAAAGCCACTGCTAAACATGCTTATTCTTTGAAAAACCCGTGATGATCATGTTTATCCTTGACAAAAATCGTATAAGCATGCAGGCTTTCAGCCCCACACATCACAGTCTTTATCTTCCGACAGCTGAGCCAACGGAGCTCTTGGATAGTCATTACTTGCACGAGGCTGGTGAGGACGACGATGTAGTGGACGACGTTGAAAGCCAGCCAGAGGAGCAGGTGTTTGCAGAGCTGGACCTACAGCATGCTGACATGTGCCATTCGTGCTTACGCAGGAAAGTGCAGTTGAGGACAAGGACCGAAGCAATGCTGGCAATGACCCGAGTGAAGTCGTTGCAATGCCAGGATGGGAAGGCAAGCGATGCCAGATATGCGATCCAGAGGAAGAAGAGGCAGAGAGCGAACAGAGCAGTTCGTGTTTGGGTAGACGATTCTTCCTAACCGATGAAATCACTATCTTCCATCGTGGACTGATGGTTGCTCGCTGCCGGCAGGAAGCGCGGTAGGTCCAAGAAGGGCTGAACTCGAGCTTCAGGTGCCCGGACCTTACCGGGCAAAGCTCACGTGCCATCCAGTTTTTGCATGTGGCACATCTCTCTCCAGAGACATGTTCTGTACGGCTCAGGCCAGTGTTAGGGCCAATTAATTGGATCATGTCACATGCACCCCCCCATGGGTGGCCATCGGCCAAAGAAGTGCCAGAGATGCGACCCTTTTGCCAAATTCGTGCCTCGTCATCTGAAAACACCTTTTAGCGGCTTGTGTGACCTTCGTGGAACCATGGCGCTGCCGATTGCTCTTTCTTCGGTGAATCTGGCCACGCACCTGAATATCTCACTGACAACTCCACGGCCGTTCGTTCCGTTTCGCCAGGCAAGTGCAGCAAAGCTCGCCAACGTCCAGCTTTCAAGTGGGAGGCTCGTGTGGCTAGCTTACTGGCCGTTGCTAGCATGCAGTTTCTTGTACTTTAAGCACAGTTGCAGGCACATTCTGCCGCAGAAGGACCCCTTCAATTCGCCCGTCTGCGCTTCGCCGTTGCATTCCACGCAACTAGCCACGCATAGCCACGCATGCGATGCTGTCCCGAACAGTCAAGTCTTTCTACGGATCAGTAAGTCAAAGGTTCCGCCCGTTGATATCTTTCCCAGTCCCAGTTTCCGGATTGACTGGTAGTGTAGAGCTTAGCAATTTCGCAGTGTACTGTGTGGGCATGGTTCAGCCTGCCTTCTACCATCTTCCAATATCTTCTACTCGCTGTGCTTAGTGCGCTACGAGGCCGTTTCAGTAGGTGGAAGGCCTTTGAGTGTCCACAGCACTTGAAAGCAACGCCGCCCACCAGCCCTTCCAGCAAAGGCCTTCGTGCAAAGCGCAGCCGGCCAGGCTCTGCTGCAATCGGAGTTCTTTCGAGTTACCAGTTTGGCAGGGCACGTGCTAGGCGCCTGCGTCGGTCTGTTATGTCTGTTTCGGTTGGTTTTGGTGCATTTCCGGGGGTGCAAGTCGCTTTCCCAGTGGTGCCTTGTAAGCACAGTCACAGATTCAAGCAAGATCCCGTGCAACAGCTTCAAGCAGGTGCTGTGCATTCCGGTGACACAGCACGGCATGAATGACATAACACCTGGGACAATACCAAGGTAGAGGAAAACTTGCCAGACCGGACGACTTGTCTCTTTCTCCAAAGATGTCCTTAGAATTCTTCCAAAGCGTTTGAGCACCCCCTGGCTGCTTCCCCATTGGTCCCCCGACTACCGTTCATTCGCATCTTGCACCAGCAGTCAAGCAGCTTCTCGTGTGGCTAACTTACTAGTCGTGGCTAGCATTCATCGTTGCAGCATTCAGTTTCTTGCAGCACAGTTGCAGGCACATCCCGTTGCAGAAGGACGCCTTCAACTCACCCCTCTGCAATTTGCCGTTGCATTCCACGCAACTAGCCGCGATTAGCAGCGCATGCGATGCTGATACTTGCGGGGTGCTGTGCCAATTACATGCCAGGCCGTCGTGCAAAGCAGCCGCGCCGTCCAGGCCCGGTGCAAATCGAGACTTCTGGACATTGGTGCTTTGCAAGGTTGGCGCACGGCGTAAGTCAGAGCTGCATTGGCAACCCATGAAGGAGCGAACGAGCGAACGAATGAAGAAGGAACGGAGCGAGCGGCAAACACACGAGCAATGGACGATTTTGCAGTTCAGGTTAGTTTTCGTGGCTTCGGCTTGTGATTCTTGTATTGAACCAGGCAAGTTCTGGGGTCGGTGAGGCCGGGATGTGGGTCTCGGCTTGGGAAAGTTGAGAAAATGCGTTCAGGGTTTCTTCTGCGTGCAACGTTCCGCAGCTCTGTGGCATGGCCAGCTTCGTGGAAGCAAGGCCTAACAGATATTTGTAATGTGAGCTTGCAAATCGGATGCAAATCGGACATGGGATTGAGATGCCAGGTGCCAGCTTTGCCCTGTACCATCCTGTACCCCTTGATTTCAACCCTTCAACCCGAACCAAGTCCAGCCGATGGAAGGCCTGCGCCCGCTAGAGAAGCAGCAAGAGTGGCTGTGGCGGCATGCCGGAGTCAACCCACGGAGCTGCAACGCCCAGAGCCACAGGCCGGCCAGGGCCCAGGGCGTCGACAGGGGCCGGATTTTGGGTCCATACCTGGGCTCGTTCAGAGCTGGCATGTAGGAGAGGTGTTTTCGTTTCCAGTCAGGGTGTGTTGCCATCAGGGTGTGCGATCTCGTTTCTGCCTGCAGTGGGCCCGAACCCCGGCAGCCGTATAGTACAGTTTCTCCCTGCACAGGCTCGTAGATGCCTGTGAGTTGTAGTGTACATCAGACACACTCTCCTGCTCCAAAAAAAAAATGTTGAACAGCAACAGGGAATCACGGCTGGTGCTGTTTCCCTTCAGATTGGCCCACAGGCATTTGTTCGCAGGATCACACAGCGCAAGAGCGGTTTGGGTAGGCGTTCCTTCGGCAATCATCAACCACACACGAGTCATCCGGATGCAGTTGTCCGTGGAACTAGATCTTCCGAATTAGGATCCTGAAAGAAATTGCAAGACATGGCCACAAGCTGACATCATACCTCCAAGCAGCTAGGACAACACGATATTTACTCAGAGTGTTTGTTTGGGCTTGCGCTGAACTAGGCTCGTGTCCTTTGCAGAGCCAGAGCATTCGGGAAAGAAAGTGTGCATTGCAGGTGGCTGCTCCCCAAAATCACGTAGCTGCAAAGCCTCAGCTACCGCATCAGCCACTTGGCTCTGGGACTGGTTAGGTGGATAGGAGTCGGGAAGGAGATAATTTCTTGGCCAGGAGGGAGACGGGGAGAGCGAGAGAGAGAGAAAGAGAGATGGACGGATGCAGAGCTCGAGTCCGTCCTCGTACCTGCAGAGAACGCAAGAAGGGGAATACTTTGTGAATAGCAAGGTCCGCTTGCCTCTGCGAAGTTTCGATTCGTTTCGAACACGTGGAAGGTGTTAAGGCTGTTAAGGGTTGAAGCGATTGAAACGCTTAAAACATCAGCTGGCATGCTGAGTTATTCGGAGGGCTTTATGCACCAACGCTGTAAAGTCTCGGTGTCTGGGCAGGAGGACAGTTGAGAAGCACTCGACCTGCGTGGGTTATTGTACACCTTGGAATTCGGCATGGTTTACTTGAAGTGAGAGCAGTAGAGAGTTGGAAAACGAAGCGAAATGCGTCTTTGTTCAAGACCCCTCAGCTGCCGGGGTGCTGTCGGCGCAGTGCTGTCAAACTTCATCGCCTGCCCACCATCGCTATTAAATAGGCCTTAACATAGCATTGTGTGAGCAGTACAAGGTCGCAGCAACGTAGCGATTATTGTGCTCGTTGCGACCCAACACGAGACTAATTAGGGAGGCATCACGCGAGGAACCAACGAGAACTCTTCTCCCCTTTCCATTTGCCCGGGGCCCAGGCCTCAGCTGCTGCTGCATCAGTTGGAGCGGGAGCTCAAAGTGCAGCACCGTTGCAGTTAAGTCCTTTGCAAGACTCCAGATTTCGATCGCGATATATCGCGATTTGTGTTTTCAAAGCAGAGGCAGCAAGGGCTCTGTCCCATCTTTGCCGCAGCGCCTCCTCGAAAGAAGCCGGAAGAGACGCGGCCTTGGCTGGCATAGCTGTGCTTTCGCGCAGCACTGCTAGATAGCGTGACATTCTTCTCGAGGAAAGCTATGCGTTCCCCGCCGCGGCTCATGGCTGCAGCTGCTGAAGCGGCTGCAAAGCAGGAGGCCATGGATAACGGGAGTCAGATCGCTGACTGTGCTGCAGTTTGGCCCGAAAGAATGAGCAGACTGTGTGCAGCCGTTTGAGATCTTCTTTGGCCTGCATGGGTTGAAGCCAGAGCGTGCTTTGCACTTCCTGCGTGGCCCGCGCAGACTTCTCCCAGCGAAGTGGCTCAGGTTCAATCGTGCAATCTGGCCGAGAGGGCACTAAAACACTAAAAGACGCTTCCGGTCCATATGCACTGCAGTGCAATGCTTTCCTCTTTTGGACAGTGCCAGTGCAAGTCCAGATTGATACTTCGCGTACCCAAGCGAAGAAGGTACAAGTTCCAGATCCTTGTGAGCCTCGTTAAAGGGTTCCTTTAATATCCACGTAAGTTTCAGTTTGGATCTACTGACCCAGGAAGCTTTGAAGACCGGAAGGCAAGACTTTCTTTGCCATCGTGACATCGCCTAAAGGCTGACTTGATTTTTGGAAACTGTCGGGTACTAGTATCGGAATCGGGAAGCTTCAAATCCATTGTGCGAAGCTCCAAACGGCCCGACTGTGCAACACCATCCCAAGTTTCTTTCAAAGCACGGCATGCGGAGGCAGTCAGGACAGAAATATCAGCAAACGGCTCAATTTCCCAACTCGAACAAGAACCACAACCCTGGTGCACATCGAAGCCAGCATGCTGACTGCAGTCCAGCACGAATCCTCCCAGGTGCTTTCGAACGCTCGCAATGCTCTCGGCTTCGCGGCCAGACGCTAAACAGCGATCCCAACTGCATGGGAGGTTGTCAGAGGCCCGGAGCCACAAAGCGGCAAAGCCAAAGCTTCACTGGGCGACGAGACTGCCAGGTGTGTGCCCAGGCAGCCAACCTCCTGCAGTGTGCGGACGTACTTCTGCTATTCACAGGACTCCTCTGCAGCGCACATCAACGCACCGCAGGAAATTCCATCGTATTTGCATAGTGCAGATAGTGCAGGAGCTGGGTTTTCTGCTGACAGTGGTCTGGCAGTTTACGACGACGTTGCAAAGGCGGCGGCTGATCGTGTGATCGCGTGTGCATGGGTTCGACCCTGCACAGGTGAAGGCATATGCAGAGCGGGAGTTGGACTACATGGATCTTTGTGATCCGAAGCTGGTCCACCAAGAGCCTCCACTCTTCTGGGGCTTCTGGGGCCAGTGCTTCAACGATTACAGGCAAACCCTACAGATGCAATGCCCCAACTGAAGTCCCAAGCCAACTAGCAGAAGTATTCTGATAATCCTCGCCTTGCTCTAGGCATCTCTAGTTTTGGTTGAGCCATTCGTTTCGTATACATGACCCTCTTCCGAAGAAGATGGAGATGCGAATGAACGGCCTGTGACATATGTGTGCATTGATGTCGTTCCAGATTGCAGCACACAGTGCTCCCGCCCCTGGGCAGGAAGACTGCTCCCAACAAGGGCTATGAAATCATCCGCAACTGGGTCGAGAAGCGTTTTCGACACTCGGAAGTTGCCACACGCATCAGGCCACTGTTTGTTTGCCGTTTGCTTTGCTTGAAGGCGCATAAGGGGCTGACCCTGGCTAAGCATAAGGTGGTTCCTCTCTTGGTTACCGTACGGTTTCGTCAAATCGGAGATAATCGGAGCGTTTGATTGTTGGATGCTGTTCGTCCTCTCTTTGCAGGTCGAGGCTTGCTTCCTCACAAGCGCCAGAACGCAGCTATGTGTCTTTCGACGATGTGTCGGCTGAGCCATATCTCATTACCAGCTATGCTGGTGCGTTTTACATCTTCACTTCCAACGTTGACGCCCACCACTATGACTGGTTTCTGCCGAATGAAATAAGGGAGTGTCATGGTAACACTGAGTTATATCAATGCTCCTTTGGTCGGGCGCGGTGTGGGCCAGGCATTTGGAGAGCCCCATTGGACTTTGGGTTCAACGTAGACACATCGCGTATGCTGGCATTTGCCGATGAGCCCCCGGTACGAGGTGAATCTTCTGCAAACGCTGGGCTTACAGCAGCAGCTGTGCCGCACGTAGGCTCTGTCCATGGATCTTGCCGCACTACAACACTTCGCCACATGCCGGAGTCGCTGACGCCCGCGCACCTGGTAGAGCGAGGCTTTGTCGGCAATCACCCGCGATGCATTCGATGCAGGGGTCCGGCGAGACCGGCAATTCTAATGTTCGGTGAGTGGGGTGACCGAGACTGGCTGGATTCGCAGGATCAGGCCAACCGCTGGACTGCCTACTTGCAAGCGCTTGGAGAGGAAGCAGCGGAGGCAAAAGGCCTTCGATGTGTTCTTTTGGAAATCGGTGCTGGCGGCAGAGTGCCAACCGTCCGCGAAACATCTGAGCAAATCCTTGAGATCCTGCTTGATGGTGGAGCTGATGCTACCATGATTCGTATAAATCCGGACTATCCGCTCCCTGACAATGAGATTTTCTGTGAGGGCAACCTTTTTGCCGGGAAGATTATAAGTGTCCTGGGATCCGGCCTTCACTGCCTGAACATGATTGATGCACTGATGTAGAGCGGCGCCACTTACAGATCCTGAGGTCACCCAAGCCATCCCTTGCGATGGCGCAGAAGCTCGCAGTATTGCTTGCTGACCGCCTCGGCCTCCGTGACTTTCGGACAGGACCTCGACCACCCTATGCTTCCAAAAACGCGACCTCAGGAGAGCTCACAGGCTTTGCCGTGGAATTGGTGAAGAATGAACGCTCACTGCTCAGCTACTTTGAACATTACCGTCCTGCAGACCAGCTGGTCCAGCTGCTGGTCTTCGGCCGGAGGAGGCACTCTCGGAGCTTCGCTGGAAGATGGCACCCTGGATGCCTGCATGACCTACACGCACACGCAGGGGATTCGCAACGACTTCGCGGACTTCTCTGTGGGCATCCTGGATGTGAACAAGGCAGCTGGCCTCTTAACCTTGAACGAAAACGGCATGCCCAAAGTGGATGGCCACTCGGACCTCAACGGCAAGACCATCGTGGATGTCGGTGGCCGGGTGCTTCCCTCAGACAAGAGCAATGTATAGCAAAGTGCATGAGAAGGTGCAGGTCAGACTTTGCACTGCCCTTGTTTTGGTGAGCTTGCACAGGCATGACCATGTTTGTAATCATTGGGAAGCTTATGCACAGTTCCGAGACAAGCTCTATCGTCCAGGCCCCTGCAGGTATGACTTAGAGGCCCCTGAGGCAGGAACCCGCGTGATCAGACAAGGCTTAGAGCATCAGCGCGGAGGCCCCTACGGCAGATGGCTTGGACTTCGTGACGAACAAGTGCACCAACCAGAAGTACTCGAGCTACACATTGGTTGTGGGCAATGGCAACGGCGAAGCGATGACGATGCTGCGTAACGGCACAGCTGACGCCATGTTCGTGTATGCTGACCAAGCCAAGCACTACCAGTGTGATGGAAGCATGGTTGCGGCATGGGATTGCGCGCTGTGGCAAGGCTTCGGCACGGAATATGCCTACGTCCAGACAGGGCAGTTCGGCTACGTCGTCAAAGGCACCACCCTGGCGCTGTCCAATAAAGGGGAGTGCCGGAAGCGATCAACAACTCCTGCTTGGCAGAAGTCAAGGCAACAGAGGCATATTACGATGCTTGGGTGAAGTACGACTTGGGTAGATTCCTGCTACGCCAACAGCTTCTTCCCCAGCTCAGGGATCGTAATTCACGAGTACAACAAGGAGACCGACGAGCATTCCGGCGACTGCTCCAGTGGTTATTGCCCGTGCCCTGCGACTTCGACTCAAACGGCTGAAACTTCGCTTGCGACAGGCTCAAGCAGTGTTGATGGGTGCGACACTCTCCTTTCAGTTGCTCTGCTCCTGTAGCCTGAAAACAGGCGAGAAGCCACGACCAGACGTCGAATTGAGACTCTGTGTTGTGAGGTGGTCCGAGCCGGGATCAAGCTGCCATAGGCCATGGGAGCCAAGTCCAAAGGACTTTAGAGCTCTTTCCGGCCAGACCACCGCAACGACCAGATGGCAGCACCTGGATATGTCTGACGATTCTGTTTGTAGGTCGACAAGGGCATGAAGGCTTTGTAGATCTGCAAACGTACGCAACTACAAGAACTGCAATGATGACTGATCGCTCTACTGGAAGCAAGTGAAGACCACGGCATTCTGGTTCCACTCGCACTTCCGGGAATGTATCGCATGTCATGGCACTGCGGCGCAGGATGAGTGATAGGAGTAGCGACATGATGTGGCAGTGGAAGAGGTGCGGCTCTAATGGGCGTCTCTTACAATTTCTGACGTGGCACATGGTTTCCCAGCACGGAAAGAAGCACGTTGAATAAAGTGTAATAAAGTCACATTCAGACCGTGCAGAAGACTTAATGCAGATCTTCAACAGTCTCCAAGACTCGTTCAGGATGCTCCAGGAGCCCTCCCACCTGCTGGTTGCTTTCAAGGTGCCATTTGAGTTTGCAAACTCTTCCCGTTTGATTGAGGGAGCCCACCTTTGTGCACCATTCAGTATCTTTATAGTCTTAGCACGTTATCGCCAGCCTCTAACCCATGTCCTAATTGACAGGAGTTCGGCTGCCGGACACGCAGTCCGACAGTACGAGTGAGGCAGGGAGCTCACCGGAACCTTCGCTTTCATGCTGGGAGTGCCAGGGGTCAGAGACAAAGTTCCTTGCGGTGGAGGAGCGGCCCAAGTAGCAAGTGACCGCAAGTGACGTTGTGATCTGCCAGCGCCTTGCTTCTGTAGGAGGGCGCCTACTTGATCAAGAATATCGAGTGGCTGCGCCAGAAGAAGCGGGACTTGGAGCGTCAGGCAAGCCAACAGCGAGCCAGGGCCATGGAAAGCGGGCGAGTTGCTTGTCGCTGTCAGGTGGAGAACATGGAGGCAAGGGTGCGGACGGCAGAGGCGCAGAAGGAGCAGTACAAAGCACTCTTCGAGGTGCCCTCTGCTCGTCCTCCGAGTTGTTCTTCTCAAGTTTCGCTCGTGCCGACAACTTTGCGGTGATAGGAATCGCAGACAGACACCTTTGTGCAGGCATCGGGGGAAGGCAGGTTCTGCAGACACTCGTGGTGTTGCCCTGACCTGACTTTCGCTGGAAGCAGTGCTGAGAGGGCGCGATCGCGAGATTGTCGGATTGCACCAGCAGCTGGCTGCTTTGCTGATGCTGAAGGACCTATATGACAGCTGTGCAGTATCTGGCCGCCACCTCCCGGAAGTGTTAGACAGGATGCATTAAACTCGGAGAACTTGGAGCTCCAAGAGAGGATCCAGGCCCTGGGCTGTGCCAGCTTCAAGTTCGAAGCGACTGCATCCAGCTCATGTGGACCGTAGTGGGGCAAGTGCAGTAAGTGTTGTTCGATACTGCGGCATGCAGTGCAGGGCCATCAATATGGCCACCTGGCAGGCCATGGAGCAATTGCAGCGTCATAGCCAAGCTTCGTGTGCCACACGGCCGAAAGTGCAAGATGCCACTCTTTTGGCAGAGTTTTCGTCCTGACTGCCTGCCTTAGTGCCTCCGAGGTCATTTGCATGGAAAATTTGGCCAATGCCGCTTGGCCTTGCGATTCACGAGCGACCAGTGGCCATCTAGCAGGCAATGGCTTTACGAGCATTGCGCACTGGTACGTGTTTGAGACAAGGTCGTCTGCCTTCCATGCAAGCATCTCGCCCTGTGCTCGTTGATGCCTTGGTTTCGCCTCAGCACTGCATGCTGCGAGGGCGCTCTGCTTGCCGGAACTGCTCAGGTTTTGCAGCCAGCAGCTGGACCGCACTGAACTTTCTGTGCCGTGGAACTCTGTATCGTAGAGGGAAGACTGCATTGGGCACATGACGCTGTTCGCAGGCAAAGTTACGCGGAGCGCAGCCAATGTCCCATCTGTCGGGGTAATATCAGCGAGAGGATGCAAATCTTTATGCCGTGAACGTGGTTGCAACCAGCGGGACATCGCTGGCCAACTTCGTCTGAACGTGCCGTCAAGGTCGCGATGAGAAGGACGTGTTGCATGTCTTGCTGAAACACCAAGCACGTTGCTGAACCTGGAACACACCCAACCTTGATGGCCGTTGCGTCAATGTACATTGAGCAGCCCACAGCGGCTAGCCTAGTCAATGCAGAAGCCGCCAGCTGGACTTTCAGTCATGAAGTAGGTGTCAACTGATGCAAGTGCAGCTGGCACGGTGGAGCGCTTCCTAGCAGTCTTTCTGAATTCAACACGGTGCTCACAAAGGAGCATAAGGAGCCAACATTTGCATCAAGCTGCGGGATGCAGCTGAAGGCACACCACACCTTCGTTCAGAACTCGTCCTTCGACAATAAGTCGTCTGGTATGCTCCAACCCAGAAGCATATCGTCAACCGACCTAGTCTCGCACTTACACTCTAAACTCTACATGCAGGCTGCCGCAGCAGGGAGATCCGAAATTGCATGGCCCGTCGGTAAGGATCTCTCGGAGTGGCTAAGTAGCTCGGATCTCTGTTGGAAAGCAGTGTCAGCAGCTCTGTGTGCATTCTGCCAGCCGGAAAAGGTTGAAGTAGCATTGCTCACTGCTCTCCAGAATTCGGGTTGGAGTTGCACGGACGGGTCGGGGAGGGCCAGGAGAATGAAGGCCAGCAAAGCCTTGACTTCGTGCTTGACGGCCAGCTCCTCGTGCACAAAAGGTTCCTGACAGTGCGTGAGTCATCCGAACACCGTTGCTATGAGTTGCCACTGTATCGACTCGACGACGAATCCTGTCTGAGGCATTCTGAAAATCAGTAAGCCGGCACGCTGAGAGCTGAGACTGAGACTTGATCATAGATGAAGCGAAGAGACAATATGTCCGTGTGAACACAGGTCATGGCAGCTACAGCGGAAACGTGCTTCATCTCAGTAGAGTGGCCACTGTACATAGCCCTCGAGTGGCATCTGCTCGTTCGTTTCCTACCTTGAGAAGTTGTGCTGTTGACTGCCGCACGCATTTGTTCAGCGGAGTCTCCGGCAGTCCAACGCAAAATTGAGTCCAGAGATGACCTGAGCATTCAGATTGATGGTTGGCATGCCAAGACCGATCTCTCCTCATGGGTTGATAACTTGCAGCGGCTAGGAGCGGAATGATGTTCCCGAGCCTGAAGAGTTCTACAAAGAGTGCCCTGATCAGCAGACAACAGAGATGTTCTGTGCACAGTTGGTGGCGTTTTCATGCGAAGGTACTGCACCTCCGACAATGGCAACGGCAGGCCGACCTGAGTCTCTGAGCGTCGAGTGTAAGGCACCTCAGCTGCTGCAGCTGAGGCCTGTGGTGTTTCGAGGTGCAGCAGCTTCTTGGAACCTTAGCAGCAAAGACGACTGGCGCGGATTTCAATTTCAATCCCTCCGGCACATCTGCGCAGGAAGGCCATGAAGTGGAGCTCCGATGACTACTTGCTGGAAAGGCCAGATGTCAAGGAGATTCAGGGATCCATTCATGGGTGCAGCTAGATGGGCACAACACCACTCAAATGGCCCTCAGTTGGGCACATGCATTTGTTTTCAGTAGGGGTTGGTTTTCCGGCAAACACATTTTGCAAATGGGGTGGTGCAGTTCTGTTGTGTTGAAGTCTGTACCCTTCCCCACCAACGTCCTGCCCAAGATAAGCACGGGCTTGCACCCTGCCCGGCTGCCCGGCTGCTTTGCTCGGACGCAGGTTCGGATCTGAGCGGATATCTGGCGTTGAGCACAACCTGAAGGAGACAAGAGCGGGTGGTCAGGCACGAGGCAAAGAGGAAACTTGCCCCAGAGAGTGCTCGTGGTACGGTTTTAAGGGTCCGCTGAGCGCCGAGTGCTCCTCATTTTGACAGGTAGATGGCATGGTGAAGCTCCGAGACTTCTTGGGTCAGTGACCTTTTGGGCGGCCTGTTGTTGCACCTGCAGTCGACAGATGTCGACAGCTTGAGAGGTACAACACAACGGATATTTACATGGTTTCGGGAGACCAGCCCTCAACTATTTCTGCACTGCACGTGAAGCAGGAGAACAGTGCTTCACTTTGCGCATGCTTCAGCAGCCCACTGAGGTCCCGAAGAACATGATGAAGGAGGTTGAGTTTCTACCATGCCTCCAGTGCGGCGGGTGATCACGCCCAACTTTATGCTCTGGCTTCGTTGTCGGAATGAAGATGCTACTGCTGAACAGTGCTGGCCAGGTATCTGAGTTTCTTGGACACGAACAACTTCTGGATGGGTCGCGGGGGCAGCAAATCCGTGGCCTATGCCTCGAACACTGCGAGTAGAGAATGTGGTCAGCCGCAGGCTGGAAGTCCTCTGAAAGTCTTTGTCCAGTGTGCTGTTTGGTTCGTGAGCATTTCTCTGCTCAGGTCCACTACGATGACCAGGACTCAACCTTGCACTGCATAGACCGAATACACAACAAATAAGATTCCGCCCTAGCCGGGCTCAAGCACGGAAAGCGCAAGTGCCAGGACAACATCAACTGCATGATCGCGGGGGAAAAGCGCTTTGTGTTCATGCACCCCTCATACAAAGAAGCCTTTGAGGCAGGGATCCTACGTACAACCTGAGGTTTCGTTTTGTCGGTCTTTGTGCGTACGTGTGTGTGTGTGTGTGTGGGGCGAACCCAAACTACGGGACCTAGGAGTACAATGGAGTACAATATGTTGATAAAAGATGCGGCAACCTGCCTTCCCGAGTGGTTGCCTAACAAAGAGGCTTTGGAAAGGCACTGATATCTCTTGGCCAAGAGACGTACCTGCAAGTGATGAAGAACGTGTGTGTGTGTGTGTGCTCGCCTGTGTTAGTGTGTGAAGCTGTTTCCCAGAAACGACTATCGTACTTGCAGGGTGTCATGCCCATCAAGTTTACTTGACGCAACGAAGCAAGATTGAGATGCGGATGTGTACCTGCTGGTGAAATCGAAATCGTGCACTGGTCATTGCCTGTGGCCGACTCTAGGTTCGAGTCGAGGGCTGTATAGCATGCTATATGCATGCTATGGCGCCAAGGGCCAAGGCTTAGCAATTCGCATAAGCCAACAGGGTCGTCATCGGGCGGTTTGGTCGATACCTGCTTCTGCGACATTGTGGTGTAACACACGTGTGTGTGCAGGAACAAGCGCAAGCGGGCGGCCGAAAAGCAATTTCGGCTCGCCCGTCCTTTTCGATTTCCGCTATCCTTCCTTTCCGCCTCTCGTCGGGTCATGTCTGCTTCCGGACTCACGCCAGTGATGGAGGCCGCCGCCGCCCCTGCGACGCCTACCGGGGCGGTCGGCTCTCCGGCCACTCCTGGCGTGAGTCTGGACTTCGGCCCGACCTCGGCGCCTACTACAACCGCGCCTGGTGGTCTGGACCTGGATAGCCTGGAGGGGCTTGAGCCTACGCCTCTTGGGGCGTCTGGCTCCTCTGGCGCCGGGTGCTACGGAGCCGAGGTCGTCGACTTGCTGGGCCTGGAGCTCGACGACAGCCCGGTTCGGACTGGTCCGCCCCCCCCCACTGGCGGCCACGACCGGCACTCAGACTCACGAGGCCCACTTCATCCGGTCGTTCGTGGCGGGCCTCTCCGTCACTGGCTTGGCGGCCGCCATCAGGGCGCTTTCGCCCGAGGACGCCTCCAACCTCAGGGCGGCCATGGCCGAGGCGGAGGCCACGCCGGATCAGGACACGGCGGCGGACGAGGGCCGGATCCTTCTTCGACCTCGGCGTCTTCGGCACCTTTTGTGGCGACTGGGGCGGTCCAGCCCATGACGGATCCTGGCCCTTCTCTGCCAGAGGCTCGGCGGTTCTGGGAGAGGCGCGAGCCAGCGACGGCCAGGGCGTCGCCCAAGCTCGCCGCCGCACCGCCTGGCCCTGACGCCGACTGTACTTGGCTGAGCTCGACGCCTCCGAGGCAGCGCCGGAGATCCCGACGGCCGCGCCGATCCTGACGGCGGCCAGGCCGCTCCAGTCTTCGGCTCGCCGGCCAAGGCACCGCCGGTGCCCTTCCCGCCAAGGCCGGCGGAGTTCCCCAGCACGGGGCCGTTGAGTGGCGGCGCAACCGCCCCCTCCGCCTGTGGCGGCCAGCAGCGCCACGACGGGGGCCGTCCATAAAGCGCCGCCGGCTGTGGACCAGCAGGCGCCGCTACAACGCCTTCGTCGACTATACGGCCTCTTCCGCTGGACCGGCGCCACCGGCCGCCAGGCCTAGGAAGGCGGCTCCGTCCGCTGGACGCGGACTACGACACCGCCCTGGCCGCAAGCATAGAGCGGGAAATGGCAGAGCAGCGCGCCATGGGCCCGCCGCCAGCCCAGCAGCCTGCGCCCGGCGGGCGGCGGTGGTTGAGGATGCTGCCGGCGTCCGGTCGCCCCACGCCGGCTACTACAATTGAGTCGCCGTGGCAGGCCTATCTGCGGGTTGAGGCCGCCGGGGCGGGCCAGGGGCGGCTTCTTCATCGTCTACGGTGCCGCCTCCGCCAAGTCCTCCTTCCCGCCGCCGGAGACAGCCAGTCGGGGGCGCCACGGCTTCGGCAGCCGGAACCGGGAGCAGCGGACCCACAGACGGGCATCGTCGTACCCCCGATGAGTTCGGCTTCCCGCTGCACGAGCCCGGCGCCTCCATGGCCACCACGCCCTTGTCGCCTTCGCTTCGCGGCTGGGCGGCCAATTCTTGGGAGGCGGCAGTCGCCCTGGAGCAGGCGATCGGCATAGGGGCGGTGACCCGGTCCGCAGACGGTGTCCCAGGGCGTCATCCTCCGCACCTTGCCGGGGAACGTCAGGGGCGGCCGCCTGCCACGCCGCCCGGACAGCCACAACCTCGACTGGGTGGGCTGGTGCTTCGTGGGATGCCCCCCGGGCCGAGGTAGCTGTCCGCACCGCGCCCGGTGCCTGCGACCGGTTTGCTACGCGCCGGTGGGCGGGCGTCCGCACGAAAACCATGAGTGCGACGCCTGCCGGCCAGAGCACCCCAGCTTGCGGTTCGAGGACTAGCTCGCCGATTACAAGTTCGCCTGGCCTCGATCTTCTTCGCCCGCCGCCGCCTTTGAGGGCTATAGTGCTCTCGCCCTTTTGCGGGCATAGATCTTGACGCCGGGCGCCTGGTTTTTCAAAAAGAGAGGTCCTGCTGCGCGCCTCGTTCCCCTCCCCTTTGCACGGGTTGGTTGCTTATAGGGGTCGACCGGCTCAAGGGCTCAAACATGATGGCGGCCGAGCCGAGACGAGGCTCTTTCGCCGAGCTGGTGGCACAGGCCACTCGCGCCGGGCAAGCAGAGCACTTGCCGCTCCTGGCTCGCGCCGGGGTGCGGAGCCTTCAGGGTCTGCTTGGCAGCCACGACGGCTTGGTGGTTGGTGGCGGCGGGCCCCGACAGGCCGGACCTGCCGGCTAGGAGGACGGAGGCCCGGGCGTCCCTGATATTGGCCAAGACGACGCGGGGGCCTTATGAGTCACGCCTCAAAACTTGGAACAGGCTCGCCTACGAGGGCGAGGTCGCCCCTTGGCCTGTCTCGGCGCACGTCCTCGAGGTCATCGGGGCGGGCTTCAAGAAGGGCGCCTACCGCAGCGCCAAGGAGTACTTCCTCGCCGCCTTCCGGTACCAGGAGCACGAGCTCCGCATCGTCGTCGACCCGCTCCTGCGGCGCCTGGCTAATAGGATCATCCGGTCTGTGGTCCGGGGGCTCCCAGGTTTGCGCCTCAAGCAGGCCTTCGTCGTGGACGCCCTGGTGCCGCTCGTCGCCTTCGCCGACGCCGAGCCCTTCGACATAACTCGCCCGGCCCACTCGGTGGATGTTTATGTCATCGATCGCCGTCTGGTTTATGCTGCGCGAGATTGAGGTCGCGGCCGCCCGGGTGGGCGACTTGGTCATCATGAGGCGGCTCAGGGCGGCGAGAGGACGCTCACCCGCAGATCGCTAGCGCCGCCTGGCTGCTGTCTTCTTCCGCCCCCCTGTTTCCCGGCACGGGGGGGGGACCAGGTCCAAAGAAGACTCCGTGCACTTCCTGAACGCGGTCCTGCGTGCCGCCGGCCTGGCCACCACGTTCCTGGACCACGCCGGGGTGGAGAAGAACGTCTTCGGTGGCCATGCGTGTCGGGCGGCGGGCGCCACCTTCCTGGCCGCCAAGCGCATCCCTTTGCCCGTGATCCAGCTTATTCTGGGCCGCTGGTCTTCCAGGGCCAGGCCGGGGCGGGGCCTCCGCCCAGCCCATTCTGGGCCCATGATTGGAAGAGAGCCCGCCAAAGCAGGGCGAGATGCAGCTGGCCCTCCGACCGACCGGTCGCGGCAGACCGCCAGGAAGAAGGCCTGCGGGGCACAGGAGGCTGCTCCGGGAGAGGGGCCCGGACGCCCGGCCTTGGAGTGTCAGCCCGGGCGGTGCCGGCGGAGGACGCCGCGCCCGACCACTACGTCTACCTCGCCAAGACTAGGCGGGTGCACAGACCAGACGCCCAGGAGTCATGGCGGACAGAGCCGCCTGGAGGGCTGCTGGGTGCGGGTGGCCCTTTGGCTGCCGTCAGTTCTTTAGGCTCTAGGCGCCCCCGCCGTGGTGTGTAAGCGCTGCTTCCCACCGCCAAGATCGCCTAGCCCGGCCTCGGTGCACGGCTCTTCCTCGGGCGAAGCCCCGGACGATCGACAGGGGCGAGAGGATGCCTCCTCCACATCGGGGGGTCAGTCACCTCCGAATCTTGACCTTACGCCTCTGGCCTGCGACGGGGGTGCGTCCGGAAAAGGCCCGGGTATCGGCACGAGCGCCAGCCCGCATAGGGGGCACATAGGGGGCACTGAGGTTGACCGTTGCGCTTCGCACGCCGGGCGCCTAGCTTCCCTTGGCTCACTGTCCTCGCCCGCCCCCGCCCCGCCTCCAGCCATGCCGTCTCACGTCGCCGCGGCCTATTTCACCGTCCCCCTCGTCCAGGTAGGCGGCCCCGAGGACTTTGACGTCCAGACCAGGGGCGGTGTACCACAACGACCTGACAGATGCTCCTTTCCACGTTCGCCCGGTCCGAGGTGGCGGCAAACTACCTCAGGGTGATCCGCCTCGACTCCTTACCGCAGCCCTGGCTCCAGGGGACTTCAGGAGACGAGCTGAATCGCCTGGCGGTGCCTCAGAAGGAGACCGGCTCCCTGCACATCGTCAGGGGCAACCTGGTTGTGACGGACGACAAGAAGCCGTGGGAACCCCGCGGTGTCATGTCGGTGCTGGACGGGCTCGAGGCGGTTCGCCTGGCGTGGATCCTGACCACGGTCGGCGACGAGGGCGACGTCAACGACTACATCGCCTGGTGGGACCGCAAGGTCCGGGCCCGCGCGGCCCACATTGAGAACATAGTCGCCTACTGGACGTCGACGGCGACGACCTTGGCCATGGAGCTGCGCCAGAGGCGCACCTTCAAAGAGGTCACCGCCGACATCATGGCGGATACTTCGGCCTGGCTGGAAGCCATGGCCACGCCGCCGCCCCGCCCGGAGCCCAAGAAGCCCGCCAAGCCACAGCCGCCGCCCAAGGCCGAACCGGACCAGGGGGCGGACTGGACCCCGCCGACCCCGAAGTGGCAGCGCACGGGGAAGGGCAAGAAGGGGCAGAAGGGCCAAAAGGGCGGCAAGAAGGGAGCCAAGGGCGGCGGCAAAGGTCAGGAGCGCCAGCGCCGCCAGGAAGAGCAGCGCCGCGACCAAGCTTGGGACGACTCCTGGTGGGCGTCCTCTTCTTGGGGCTCGAACTACGACTGGGAAGCGCCCGGCCGCGAGCAGGGCGGCCGGGGCGAGAAGAAGCGCGCCTACGCCAATCAATGGCGTTAGGGACAGCGCGGGGCCGACGACGCTGCGGCTGCGTCGGTGCCCGACCAGGCCCCCGCCAAAACGAGCCAGGCTCCGGCCAAATCGCCCGGAGGGGCGGTCCATCATCGTCCTCTCCGCCTTCGACGGCATCGGCGCGGCCCATCGCAGTCCACCTTTGGCTGCACGGGGCGGGCCGCCATCAAGCCCCTCTACTCCCGGGCGGCAGACACGGCGGCAAACTCGGCAGACGCGCTGTCCGTGGGTCTTGGGGCCGCGCTCTCTGCGCTCCGACGGCTGGTGCAACAATCTCGCCCCAGGCTAGTGCCGTGGCCGGGGCGGGTGCAGGGCCCATTCCCGGTGCTCTACGCGGACGCCTTCTTCCTGGACGGCGACTTGCGCCGCAAGCCTGGGCACCTCGAGCCGGGGGACCCCGTTCCCAAGGACGTCAGGTGGCGAAACGGTTGGGGCTTCGTGCTGCTCCTGGGCGACCACGTCTTCTACGACTTCGGCGTCATCAAGCCCGAGCTCCTCCAGCCGTTCACCGCCAGGAAGGCCTTCATCTACGTCCTGGAGATCCTCGCCCAGGTCCTTCCCGTGGTCGTCTTCGCTCGCCGACTGCCCCCTCACTGGATCGCCTTCATCGACAACGTCGCCGGGCAGTTCGCCCTCATGAAGGGCTACGGGAAGGTCCCGGCGGTCAACGGCATCTTGGCCTCCTTCTGGGGGCTGGCGGCGGAGCGCCAGTGGGCGCCCGACTTTTACCGCGTCCCGTCTGCGTCCAATATATCGGACGCGATCTCCAGGGGCGA